ATTTTATTAAATAAATACGTCTAATATTATTCATCTTGTTATAATTGAAAATTGCTCGCATATAATTTTCCAACCTATCATTATTAAATGTGAACCGGATAAAAAAATCGGTATTCTGGCTGTCCGGCTACCGCTAAACCAGGGAGAGCACATGGAGAGGAATAAATAAGGAAATGAATGGAGTGAAAGGTTTTCTTCTCTAAGAATGCTGATAAAATCCTTCGAGTAGTCCTGCGTGCAACAAGATGAGCATAATACCATATGAGAGTATTCGTGCAAGAAATTAAGAAGTAGAGAATGGTTCTCTCGTTAGGCCTAACCTCACGCGGCTCGAGACTACACGAGTCTGATATCTTCATCAAATTCAGTTCCTTCTACCTCCTTTTATAGGAAAAAAATATACCATAAAATCAGGAACTGACACAATATACAAATTAAAAATGAAAAAAAATAAAGGAGTAAAGGCTAAACACAAGGTGAGGAATTTACCTTTGACTCATTTCCAAGCCACTTTTTTGGAAGATCTCAGTTGCATATAAGATCAAAATTAACAAAACCACCCCAACTAGAACAGCAGAGGAGCACATGATCAGACGAATATTAACAGGATTTCTAAAAGAAAATTCTTCTGCAGCTATTTTCAAAAAGACTTTTTATTCATATATATTAGTAAATCATATCAACCCTTACATTCAAAAAGAGAAGGGGATTCAAAAGTTTGTGCCATATACATGCCATATTTGCTCCTCTAGTAACCCACAAAAAAAAAAGGCAGGCTAAAAACAACAACAAATACATATATATATATATATATATATATCAAAACTCAAAATTTCTTGGCTCATCTAGTCATCTTCTATAACTGAGGCCAAACCAGTCACAATCCTAATACCAGTGGATGAACTTTTACACTTGGGCTTAATCTCAGGTGGTTTCCATTCCTTCATCACTTTCTCCTCCTTTTCTTCTTCTTCAGAGCTCTCAGACAAAACAAACAGAGACTCCTCCACCTCAGCACCATCTACTGAGTCTTTAACAAGATCAGATTCAGAGAAAGACTGGTCCTTTTCTTCAGGTTTGGGCTCTTGATGTGAGGTTAGAGTATGGGTGGATGGAGATGGGGTTGGGGGTGAGGATGTGGATCGGATGTGAGGAGTGAGCCACTTTGCTTTGACATACTCAGCTTTTCTCCAGGGAGGAATGTGCATTCCCTTCTTCTTCAGACTCTGCGTGGCTGCCTCACAGATGATTGTGATTATCCTCTGGAGACGATCGGATTTGCCCACAAAGATGTAGGGAAGCGTTTGCAGGACAGATTTGTAGGTCTTGGTTGAACGGGCAATTTCAAATTCTGATCGGAAATCGATATCAACCAACAAACGCTCACCCTCAATTATCACATCAATGTATTCATATTCTCCTGTATATCATTAAAAAAAAAAAAACCCCACAAAAAAAAAAAATTCAATTTTGGTTCATGTGAACACGCCACCATATTTTTCAGAGGAAAAGAGAAACATTTGTAACAGTAAAATCACACCGTTTCCTGATTTAATTTCCATTTTTACAAGAGACAAAACGGAACATCAGCCATAGACAATTTAATCTTTTGGGGGAAAAGATACCCCATTTCTGTTTAATTCGCCCGTGTTCTAATCAATCAGAAACAGAAAATCATAAATATTTGGGCGGACTGGAAGGAGGGAGAGAGTGAGTACCGGCGGGACATGAGGGGGATTTTTCCCAGCGAGATTTGCAGATTGAAGCGTCGTATCCGAGAGACGATAGTTCATCAGTAACAATCTTCCTGCAAAAATCGTCTTTACGCTTACAGATCTTGTTCTTATCAACGATCCTCGCCATGTCCGCTAGCAAATTCATTTCATTCACAGTCGGGCAAGGGACCAGACTCTATTCCAGAAAAGGAAACCAATCTGGCTTTACCTTTTGAATTCCCGTAATTAAAAAAAAAAAAAAATCTGGATGCCTAAGGGTTTTAGTTTTACCTTGAGAATCTCAACAGCTTCGCCGGAAGAAGGAAGATTGGAGTCGCCAAAACCACCAAACAAGTCCAATTCGTCTTCCGAGCTGTCGCTGCAGTTCCGATTGAAGCAGTTGCAGCGGTTGCGGCTACACCTGGCCGCGCCGGTTTGTTGTTTCTCGTTGTTTTCCTCGATGAAGTTTTGCACCATCTTTGCCAGACAGACGGAGCTCGGCTCAAACTCAACCGAGGCATCTTTACTGAAATGTGGCTCCTCAACGACGCCGACCTTCTCCGCCGCGGAATTTTTAAGAACGCCATGGAACGGCCGCTCGAAGAGCCTCTTGAGCCGCGATTTCGCCACCGGTTTTACCGACTCCAACGGATTCGGCTCTTCAATCGTCTGACAGTCGATTGGTTGAATCTTCAACGGAAAAGGCATGGTCAACTCCCGCAATACCTCAAAATTATCAAATTTCAGTCCTCCATTTTCTCTAGTTACAGAATTCAGTCAAAGAAACACACAACAAAACGTAATCTCTAGATTTCTACGGACTATCCTTATTCCTTCTTCGCCTCAGTTTCAAAATTTGAGAGCAAAGAAATGAAATTAGTCCAGTATAAAACACAAGTAAGAGTCCCCTAAAGCTATGAATACAAAGACAAACAGTGTCGCTGATAACAGCACAAAATCGCCTCTCCGATTAGATCAGCAACACAGAAACCCAGAATTACGCCAAAAATCAATGCATTTTGCCGAACTCGAGAGCCTAAAGCCAAATCAGAAACCTTTTATCTACTATTATTATATAGAAATCTGCCTCTGATTCGCGAGACAAAGCATGGAATAACTTGGAAACTCTGCTAAGTAAAGTCGCTTTTGCTTGCGGCTTCCAGATACGGTTAAAGTTCCCGAAAAACGCTACGGCACGAAGACGCTATTTCCATGCCTTGGAAGTTCACACAACGATTAATTGCCGGAACCTCCATTTTTCCCGGTGGCCAGCTTCAGTTATCCGGCGTGAGGAATAAGGAAGGACAGAAAAACCAGGGAGCGTGAAAATGAAAATGAAATGAAAGAGAGGGAATAGCTTGGGTGTGTGATTTTGGCTCTGTTGTGAAGGACGATAAAGAGTGAAGACGGATCCGGCCGAATTTATAAGGTTAAATGTCAATTTGGTCCTCAATTTTAAAGTTTTACATATTTTTAATTTTTAATTTTTTTATGTATTTTTTTGTTCTTTAATTATAAAAATATATATTTTTAATTTTTTTATTAATTAATTTATTAAATTTATCTGAATTTAAATATTTTTAATTTATTAACTTCTAATATATATAATTTTAGTCTTTCAACTTATTAAAATTTTATATATTTAAATAAATTTAATAAATTAACTGACAAAAAATTTAAAAAAATATATTTTTCATAATTAAAGAGATAAAAAAATACATAAAAAAATAAAAGATGAAAATTATGTAAAACTTAAAATTAACAGATCTGTTGGAAATAGGCCCAATATAGGCCCAACATCCAAACAGGGCTGTGCATAATGGGCCTAAACTACCGCCCACTAGCCCAAGTTGATGGAACACTAATGCAAGCATACCCACGTGATTAGCACCACGTGGGCCAATGAGATGCTTACATGTACAGATGCATGTCAGCACTTGACGCTATAAATACCCCCCAACTACCTTTGAGAAAGGTAATTAATCTCTATGCTTTTCTCTCTACAATTACTCCTTGAGAGCCTCTCTCTCTAGGATATCGAGTATTGCTGACTTGAGCGTCGGAATGTTTTTCCCGAAGAAACATCCTCGGGATTTACAGGTGTAGAAGCAGCTGAGGACTTCAACAGTGTTGGATTGTGAAGCTGCCCAAACATTTGGCACCGTCTGTGGGAATCCAAACAAGAAGCTGTGTAGTTTAACTGGCAGAAAGACAAAATGGCCTGTACCTGTACTGGAATTCGCCCTCCAAGAGATGAAATGGACGAAGAGGAGGACACTCAGTTGTCCGAGCCCGGTTTAAATAATGATAGGACAATGCCAAGAAACCTTTTCGTTGGAGGAGCAAAACAGGACCAATTAAGTGGAATATATGATGATGAAAGAACACCAACTGGGTATTCAACTCAGCCTGAACACTTCCAAGCCCCAACAAGAACAAGGCAAAGACAACCCAAGCAAAACAATTCACAGCACGAATGACCTGAAAGGTCAATAGAACTTGCTCGGACGACCGAGATCGAAGAGAGAACCAGAGTTCTTGAAATGGCAATGGGTAAAATCCTTGCTCGTCTAATTCCTGACGACTCCCTGATTCCTTTGTTGAACAGGGATGCACAACCAGCTGCGGTTGTTGCAACTCGAAACTCCCCTACTCTAAGCAACATAGTAGTGCCGACCAGACCAAGGGGAAATGGGAAGCTAAATATCGAGCCCAGCCCGTCCAAACATAGTGAAGAACTGATGAGAAAGAACGCAGACCTGGAAAGGCAGTTAAGGGACGTACAGAAATCTATTGACGAGCTGAAAAGTCCTCGGTCGCACCAACAAACCCTGGATTTGGATAGTGTTCCACTAAACCTATCCATCACAGCAGAACCGTATCAAGAGGGATTCAAGATTCCCCACCTGGAGACATACGATGGCTCGGGTGACCCAGATGAGCATCTGCACACCTATCAAGCCATCATGGGAATTCAAAAAGCCAATGGTACCATGATGTGTAAAGTGTTCCCAGCGACACTAAAGTCAGCGGCCAGAAGATGGTATCATAAACTCCCTAGACACTCTATAGATTCTTATTCCCAGCTTGCCAAGCTATTCTCCAACAAATTTGCTAGCCAAAGGGAAATTAAACGCACAGCTACCGAGGTGATGCAAGTTCATCAGAAATAAGGGGAATCTTTGAGGGACTATATGCAGCGATTCAACAAAGCCACTTTAGACATTGATAACGTCCCAGATACCATCTGCCTGTCTGCCTTGCTGCACGGTTTGAAGCATGGTCGGTTTCTGGACGACCTGCTCGAAAACCCATAGAAGACATGGAACGAAGTGAATGATAGGTCGGCCAGCTTCATATTGTCAAAGGACTTTCAGTCGTCCAAGCGACGAGCTAACGATAAACAAAGCAAAAGGTAGGAACAGCCACCAAGGAGGAAAGAGAAGAAGAAACAGAAAGTCAATGAACAGTGGGGGAAGCCTGCTGACTTCCCAAAGTATGCCAACTACATTCCTTTAGCCTTGCCAAGGTTTCAAATCCTTGCGCAAATCCAACACTGGGTTAAGAGACCCCCATCGCCATTGCATGATTCCCCAAGGGCGGACAAGAGCAAACATTGTGACTACCATCGTGAGTATGGTCACAATACAAAAGATTGTCAACACTTAAAGGACGAGCTGGAGTTCCTGGCTCGCAATGGGAAGCTAGAAGGATATGTTCAGAAGCCCCACGCCCAGCAACCCACTCAAACTCATTTTGTACAGGGGTATAACCGACCTTAGGGGCAGAGGTACCAGCTCAGCGGGGCACAGGATGTATATCAGGATAACCAGTATCCTTCTGAGTAGGGCAGGGTGTACAAAGGACGTCCGTTCAATAGGAGAGGACAGAGACAGAGAACTGCCGCCCAGAACCAAAAAGATAGGAAAAGGGTAGGTTATGCTGGGATCCCCCCACCTTCGGGCACAATCAATATGATTTCTGGTGGTATACACTCTAGAGGCCAAAGCGCCCGAGGTCGTAAGGCATATGCTCGCCAGGTGATGACTGTTAATAAGAATAGGCCCCTGAAGCGCCCGTTTGAAGAAGCAGAATGGGAGAATACGCCTATCACATTCAGCCCGGCAGATTACAAGCGAGCAAACAGAGAGCTTGACATTATGATGCCCCATGCAGATCCTTTCATGGCAACGGTTCATATAGGCAATCATAATGTCAACAAAGTGTTTATCGATACTAGTAGCTCGCCAGATATCTTATACTAGAGCTGTTTTCAAAAGATGCAGCTAAATTCGAGCTCGCTGCAAAAATATGAAGGGCCCATATATGGTTTTGACAACCAGCCCGTTCCAGTGGAAGGAGTAATTACGCTTCTCATTTATGTGGGTGCAGAACCACGCTTTAGGATGGCTTCAGTCAGCTTCCTGGTCATCAAAATGGAGTCGGCCTTTAATGCCATATTAGGAAGAGCCACCCTCTGTGAGTTGAAAGCTGTTATTTTTCAACCCCATCTCTGTATGAAATTCCCAACTCCCCAGGGGGTAGGAGTGCTTAAAAGGAATCAGAAGATGGCCAGAGCCTGCTGCTAAGATACTTTCAAAAAGGTCGAGCTCGCTGTTGCCCCTGCAGGCTTCGAAAATCACAGACCAACCTAGCTCGGTCAGCAGACAATGAGCATATCAGACATTGAGCACCGACTTGAGGGTGTCGAGCAGAAGGTAGAGCCAGTGGAGCCAGTAGAAACAGTCCCTCTAAACCCTGACGTACCAAAAAGGACGGTTAAGATCGGCACCAAACTCACAAAAGAGGAACGGGCAGAGCTTCTGGAGTTTTTGAGGGTTAATCAGGATGTGTTTGCGTGGACTACAGATGAAATGCTTGGCATCCCGGCGGAGTTGACAGTCCACAAGCTTAGCACAGACCACACCAGAAAACCGGTGGTTCAAAGGCGTCGCCTTTTTGGACCTGAGAAGCTAGACGAAGAAATACAAAAACTACTATAGGCAGGCTTCATTAGAAGAGTCAAATACTCCAAGTGGGTGTCCAACCCTGTGCTAGTTAAAAAACCAAATGGCAAGTAGAGAATGTGCATTGATTTCACCAATTTAAATGAGGCATGCTCGAAAGACCCCTATCCCTTGCCAAACATCGAGAAGCTAGTAGAGCGGGCAGCTGGACACAAACGGATGAGCTTTCTTGATGCCAGCTCGGGTTATCACCAGGTCCAGCTGTTGTTGGACGACTAGGAGAAAACAGCTTTTTACGCTGGTGATGCAATCTACTGCTATGTGATGATGCCGTTTGGCCTGAAGAATGCTGGTGCTACATATCAGAAAATGGTGCAAATCATCTTTAAGCTCCAAATTGGAAGAAACATAGAAGTGTATGTGGATGACATCATAGTCACCAGTGTACGAGCTGAAGATCACATAGGTGACCTGAGCGAGACCTTTCAAAACTTGCGCCGAGCTCAAATGAAGCTAAATCCCCTGAAATACACATTTGCGGTAGAGTCAAGAAAATTCCTAGGGTACGTGGTGTCCAGGAAAGGAATTGGAATAAATCCAGAAAAGGTTCAGGCTGTTCAACAGATGGAGCCACCCAGGACTGTCAAAGATGTGCAGCGTTTGACGGGCCGTGTAGCTGCGCTGCATAGGTTCATAGCCAAGTCGGCAGACAGATGCCTCCCATTCTTCAAAGCCCTGCGAGAGCCCAAGAACTTTCAATGGACCAATGAGTGTCAAAGGGCGTTTGACGAGCTCAAACAATATCTGGCATCAACACCTTTGCTGTCCAAGCCTATGGAAGGAGAGAGTTTATACGTGTACCTGGGGGTTACAAAAGAGGCAGTGAGCTCGGTTTTACTCAGGGAGGAGAATAAGAATCAGAAGCCTATCTACTATGTGAGTAAGGTTTTAGAAGGTGCCGAGCAAAACTACCCACTAGCAGAAAATGCTACTTTTGCTTTGGTCTGCACAGCTTGTAAGCTGAGAGCTTACTTTCAGTCTCATCAAATTGTTGTCTATACTGATTTGCCACTGAGGAAGATATTGCAGAAGCCAGAACTCTCAGGTCAGCTTATTGGATGGAGTGTCGAGCTGAGTGAGTACGGCCTCAAATTTCAGCCATGCACGACTGATGCACTAAAATCACCCTAGCAAGTGTACTAGTCGCTCCAAGTAATATAATGATGAGAAGAATGTCAAACCCACGAGGATTGTGGCTAACTAAGTACCAAAATAATTAATCCAAATTTATTTGAACAACCAAATGGGAAGAAAGTTTAACTAAAAAAATAATAAAAGAAAAATA